AGATGATAAGGAATAGAATCTATTCATGAGATTCTGAACTGGAAGTGGAACTCCTTTGTTTTAATGACATTATATGACAACAGATGCAAGTAGCTACCTAATATTTGATGTTGAGAAGATGTAGTGCTCTTTGGTTTTATTTTTCAGTAATATAAAACATTAGCTCATTACATGTTAGAAGCTAAAGGCGCTGTTAAGATAACTTGTGATATAATCACCTCACAAAGCAGAAGACTGAAATTATCAGTGAGCTATATGATTGAAACTAATGCTAAAGGCCCACTAGTGGTAATCAGTTTACAATGAGACTAGTTATCACCACTGTGTTTTTCTCCAGTTGAGTTCACCAGGCCGATTGAGATTTTTCAAGGATGATCAGGAAACAATCAAAAATGGGATGATTATAGTCATGGTCCATGAAATCTAAAGATGAATAACAAGGAGGGCACATAGCCCACCTTCAGGAATGTGAAGTGCAGGATTAAAAATAGCTGATTTTCACCTAAAGACAAAATTCAGAAAGGTTGAGAAAGAAGGTGGATTGGAACAAGAATTGCCAGAAGCAAGTGGGATAAGTGATGAATGGTAACACACCTCGCTAGGATTAGTCAGTAGACAATGTAAATGAGGTTACTGTAGCCTACTATGCAAATGAAATGTCTGTGGTCCACCTAGAGAGAATTGGTCAGTTTGTGACTTTACTGTAAGGGATAATGCCTTGAAATGACAAGGAGTTGTGTATATATGCAGCCAACCACACCAATGTTTTTCAGTCAGAAAGCAGCAGGAAGACAAGACAGAAGAGAGAAATAGCAGAGAAAGAGGAGGCAAAGGACCCGCTAAAGGAGCTGTAACAAAGGCCCAGGGTGGTAACACTGGAGGCAGTAACTGGCCCAGAAGGGGTTCAGCAGTAGAGTCAACAGTGCCCAGAAGAGATTCTGTAATACACTCAGTTGTGACAGGGGCAGAGCCAAGAGGAGGCTGTCCTCAGAGCCAAGGGAGGTTGAGCGTGCTGTCCTGCACTGACGAAGGGAGACTGCCTATACAGCTTCCTGATCTTGAGTTGTACGCTATTACTTCCTTAATAAGCCACTTAACAGTAAACATGGTAAGTTCTGGGTGACCGCTGCCTCGGATTATCAAAGCCACCAGAGAAGTACAGAATGCCCTAGGAAGGATGGCTGGTGTCAGCATTTGTCAAAAAGTTACAGGATGGAGGAATTAGCTTCAGGCTGATTTTGCTTCTCATCATCCCCCTGCAGTTAGGCAGATGCTGAAGCTGTTACCACCACCACCATTTTATACCATTGACTCCCATATGGTCCCAGGATAAAGCGTTCTCTCTAGTACGGTCAGTCCTTGCCCAATGCTCTAGTCTCCCCTCCTCCCAATCCCATTTCACACTCAGCCAACTGAGCCACTTGGGGCTCTCTATGAGCTGGTTCCCACTCACTACTAGCCCACTGTACATGCTACCCATGCCTGCAGGATTCATCCTGACCAGCCCACCTTCCCTCCTCATTTGCTGCAGTAATTTTTAGTCATTCTTCAGGTCACAGCTGAGATGTGGAGAAGAGCCTTTCCTGACCGCAGATCAGGTGAGGTGCCTCCTCTAGCATTCTGCTTCATACCATCATCTGTCTCCCTCATTAGACTGAGAGCTCAGTGTGAGAGTCTATGCAGTGTTGTGGGATAAAGCACTGGGTTGGCAGCTCAAACTCACTAGATGCTCCTTGGAAACCCTATAAAGGGTCACTATGAATCAGAACTGACTTGACAGCACTTAACAACAACAATAACAATATGGCACTGTAGGATACGCGCTGGACTACTCACCACAGACTGCAAAGCCATTTGAATTGCAAGGTCGGTGGTTCAAGCTCACCAGCCACTCCTTGGAAACTCTATACAGGACTGCTGTGAGTCATAACCAACTTGATGGCATTTAACAAAACAACAACTAACCACAAGGTTGGAGGTTCAAACCCACCAGCAGTTCCTAAGAAGTCCTATAACAGAGTTGCTGTTGGTTGGAACCAACTTGACAGCACTTAACAGCAACAACTGGATTCTAGAAGTCCTCATGTGGTACTGTAGGATAAGCACTGGACTGCTAATTGCAAGGTCAGTGTTCAAACCGACCGTCTGCTCCTCTGAAACCCACTCAAAAGCAGTTAACAACATTACACTGTATCTATCCTTGCACCGAGTCTACCATTGCCAGTTAAAAAGCTACTAAGGAATTGACTGCTGGATAAACCAGGACCACGATTACCAGGAAGGAAGACCACGATTACCAGGAAAACCACAACAACTACGTCACTATTTGCTGCAGTCTGCCCGGCCCATCCCCGTGAAGCAGCCGGGATGATCTTTAATCTGACCGCAATCATTCTCGCTTAAAACGTTTTTATGGCTCCCTGTAGCACTGTAGGATCAGCACTAACTAGGCTGCTAACTGCAGGGATGGCAGTTCAAACCCACCAGCTGCTCCTTGGGAACCCTATACAGGGTCTCGGTGAGTAAGAACCACTCGACAGACCTTAAGAACATTACCCCAGGTTGAGTGCGGTGGCTCTATTCAATAAGCACTGGGCTTCGAATCACAAGATCTGTGGTTCGAGCCTGCCAGCCGCTCCGTGAGAGAAAGATGAAATTTTCTGCTTCCGCGAAGATTTAAAACCTTGGAGACCTTATATATATAGGGTTGCTGTGAGTCAGAACCCTCTCGACAGCCCTTAACATTACCCCTGGTGTGGCGATGTAGGATAAACACTGGGCTGCTAACAGAAAGGTCACCAGCCACTCCTCGGAAACTTTATACAGGGTCAGAACCCACTCGATGGAACTTAATAATAACAAGAATTACCCCTCAAAACAGAGGCCAAACTCCTAACAGCACTTATCACATTCCATACTCTGCCTAGCTCCTCATCCTCATCTCTCCACACCCTACACCATATATAGTTTCCGTTCCCCAAGCGGGTCCTCTGTACATGTTCTCTATTCCTCACCTTTGGTTTGACTAACTCCTTTAGTTCGCTATCTAGACACCAGCCTTCCATATCTTCTCCCAATAGTGTTGGTCTGTCTCCGTCTGTCTTTCCTCCCAGCATCCTAGGTGGGCAAGCTTGTCTTCACTATCAGTCTTCCTGGTACCGAGCAAGGGGCTTTGAACGGGACATGCTGAATGAAAGAATGAACTCTGGTTCTGACGGTGCACGCCGGGGCAGGTCTGCCTGGCTGCCGCCGTATTCCTAGTGTTCAGTCTAGACGCCAGCATCCAGTGCGCCCAGTAACTGTGTCAAGGAGGTCGGCAGACAGCCTCACGGTCTCGCTGGACTAAAAACAGAAACTCTCATTATCGCTCCAGGGGAAGTGGGCGGAGACGACGATACAAAGACGCTCTTTAGAAAATAAAACTATAAAAGAGAGAATAAGGTTGAAGCGAATCTAAGACACACAATACGCTTCTATATCACCCACACACAGTGGCGTAAAGCCACACGTCTCCGCCCCTCAACAATATGGCCATCCTGGTGGGCGGGACTATGGGGCGGAAATTACGCAAGGCCGGAAGTCCGCCCAACCGCTCGACCACCCGGTGACCAATACGGAGGCGGCTGCGGTGGTGGCTGCGGTGGCGGTCTGTTTGCGAGGCAATATGCTGCTGGCTGAGCGGCTTGGGGGCGCCGCTATGCTGTTGAATCTGTTGCTGGCTACCCAAGTGGTTTCGGCATTCGAGCCCATCAGCGTGGCAATCGCCATCGGGGCCGCGTCGGCACTCACGGGCTATCTATCCTACACGGACTTCTTCTGTCGCTTCGCGGAATGCTGCAGCGCGAAGCATCCTCTCAACGCCTCGGGTACTGTGGGAAGGCGCTTGGCTTGGAGATCGGCCCCAGGGCGGGCGCGAGGGGCGCGGAGCGGCAGGCCCCCGCGGACATGTCAGGCGCCAGACACCGAATGGGCGCTCTATGGACTACAGTCATCGAGGTTTGGGTTGGGAGGGAGGATAAATGAATGGGCAGCCTAGGAGTTGTTCCCAATGGCAAGACCCGCTCAGGGCCTGGAGAAGGGAGAGGGAAGAGTTGACAGGGCGCGGACTCCAGCCTTGGAAGCGGTACTTTATCCAGACCGTGGGGCTCTCGGCCCAAGCGCCTTTTTAAATTTTCGGATTCTTTGAGATTACAGTAAGAAACTGAAAGTAACCGGCCCAACCCTTCTTCGCTAAGTCAACCTTCCTTACTAGTTTGCAAATGAGCAGACACTCCCCGCCCCCGCCCCAAGCCCACAGCCCACATTTGGCCCTTACTTTTCTAACTAGGCTGCAGGGGTGGCTAGGGAAATGCCATGCTGTTCAGTCAAGAGATTGTTAACCCCTGAATGAATGAACACACTTAGTTTGCTTATTAGACTACTTCTTAAGTGTTAAGGAGAACATCCACATAATGCATGGCCATAGAAGTGGCATCATCTGAGTTGGCAGTCCAGACTTGGCCATGGGATTTAGCAGAACCCCTGTAGAATCACTCACCAATCTGTGCCTCATGCTTTTGCCAATTGGGGAAAGTGCTGCTTTTCTAGTGGGTTTTTAACGTGTATTTTTCTCTCTGTTCTGGGGCTGGCTCCTGCAGCCCTCAAGCTGGACTTGGAGGAGAAGCTGTTTGGGCAGCATCTGGCCACAGAGGTGATTCTCAAGGCCCTGACTGGCTTCAGGAACAACAAAAATCCCAAGAAACCACTGACCCTTTCTTTACATGGCTGGGCTGGTACAGGCAAGAATTTCGTCAGCCAGATTGTAGCTGAACATCTTCACTCAAAAGGCCTGAAGAGTAACTTTGTACACCTGTTTGTATCAACTCTGCACTTTCCTCACGAGCAGAAGATAAAACTGTACCAGGCAAGAGCATCCACTCTTCTCCCTTCCGTGGACCACTCAGAGTGGCTGGCTACCTGCTCTCACTAACTCAGGTTTCTGCTTCTGCCCTCTGTGCTGCAGTATATTTTCAGGTTCCACTAGGTTAGGACACTCTTAACCTCAAGTTGCCCTTTGCCATTTACAAAGCTCGCCTACAACTTTTTTTCTCGCTTGATCCAAAATAATACAGTGGGATAGGTAATGTTATTTCTGCTAAAAGATGGAACCAAGAGATGTGAGATGACTTGCTCCTTAAAATCCTTGTGTTAGAGCAGAAACGTGAACCTAAATCTCCTAACTTCCATTTCACACTGTAACTTCATTCATTAGTGAATGAGTGCAGGCAACATTCTCTTCAGAGCACATGGGGGTAAACAGGGCCATCTTAAACAGGTTATTTGGACATGGCTTCATTTAATGTTCTGCACCTGTGGTTCAGTCTCAGCATTGAGCAATGTAGACTAGCGGACTGGCACAAGTGGTTTGTGGTTGGCTGCTAACCTGAAGGTTGGTGGTTCAAACTGATTCAGTGACTCCTCAGAAGAAAGGCATGGCAAGCTGCTTCTGACAAGATTACAGCCAAGAAAATGGAGCCAGTTCTGCTCTGTAACACATAAGGGCACCATGACTTGGAATCAACTTACGGCCATGGGTTTGGTTCGTTAAATAGCTTTTAAACCCTGGTTTCTCTGATCTTTCAATTCCTTAGCATTGTTTTCTTCAAAAGAAAGCCTCCAAGAACTGAACCTTGAAGCTTTTTCCCCTTTTGAGATGTTTCCTCATTTATTCATCAAGTTGTTTAGTACAGTTAATTTCATTTAAATGAGTGTAAGTTTTGTCCTTATAATGGTTAAAACTCCTACTGTTAGATGGAGACTGAAATAAGAAACAGAAACTTAAGTGAATACGGAAGTAAAAGTGGATCTTTGCCACGTACACTATTAAGACAGGGAAGATTGCCCCAAAAAGGAATATAATATTTTTCCTGTTTTCTAGACTCTTCCTAGATCTCTAGAAGTAGTGTAAGAAATATACCAGGATGCCTCTGGAGGGATTTCACGGTCACTGCTTTTCATGTTTTAGGGTTGAGGGCTTGGACTTTAAACTCCATAGTGAGAGGAAGGTTATAGCGTCATAACTTGAAAGAGTCCCATTTGAGTTAGGAAAAAAAAACTTCCTGATATTTTTGCACCTATCTCTCTCCCAGTTTCTATTTTTTTATAGGTAAGTTTTGGGGAAAGCTGTTACTTGGTGAGTGGAAGATAGGATGCAGTTTTTAAGAGTTTTTTTTAACTTGAGACTGGACTTTGAGTAGAGTTCTGCTTTTCCATCGTGCAGAGCATGATGACGAGTAGCACCTCTCCTTCCCTGGCACTTCCTTTGAGCTGCCTCTGTTTCTTCTTTTATGGTTGGTCTAGGACCAGTTGCAGAAGTGGATTCGGGGTAACGTGAGTGCATGTGCAAGCTCTATTTTCATATTTGACGAGATGGATAAATTGCACCCTGGGATCATCGATGCAATCAAGCCCTTTCTCGACTACTATGAGCAGGTTGATGGAGTGTCTTACCGGAAGGCCATCTTCATCTTTCTCAGGTTAGCACGAGACGGTGTCTTGGGCTGAGAAGGAAGTTTAGCACATAAGCTCTTTATTCTCCCTGTGCTAACAAGAGGTCCTAGCAACGATTAGCATTCTGTTTACCAGGACAGAAATACCAACCTGGCAAAAATGATTTGCTCACCTTTTTTTTTAACTGTTGGATTGATAGTATCTGCATGGCACAGAAGGGTGGACAGGAGAAACAAACCAAAGAGCAGTCGATAACAAACAATTCAGTAACTGCACTTACAACCCTTAATGCTACTTCTGAGGGTTATAAAAAGCCCTATAGCATCATGCCAACATGTTCTGAAGAAACAGCTCTTAAGCTCTTTAAGGGACACACTATTTTCTTCTTTTAGCGGCACTTAGTAAAATACCTGGGGGCTTCAAAAAATTCACGGAGAAATGGAAGGAAAGGATAATAGCATTTTTCCACAAAATTTTTGAAACCCTCTCTCATATTCCTTGCTTTTAGATCATTGGTGTTAAAATGCCATTATGTCAATTCCAACTCATAGCGACCTTCTATATAGATAGAATGGGTATATTTCTTTGCTAATTAGATACAGAAGTCTTAATGTGATTTTTAATGGGTATATTTCCTTACTATTTGGATATAGAAGTCTTAATGTGATTTTAATCTGTTTCTTTGTCAAACTCAGTAATGCTGGTGGGGACCTCATAACTAAGACGGCGCTTGAGTTTTGGAGGGCAGGGAAAAAGAGGGAAGACATCCAGCTGAAAGACTTGGAACCTGTATTGTCTGTCGGGGTCTTCAATAACAAGCATAGTAAGTCTACACAGGATGAGAAACTCCTTCACTCTGCCGACAGAGTTGTCTAGAGTGCTTCACAAAGCCACATAATCCCACCTGCCTCTGGCTGTGCTAACAGAGGGGCTTTTTGTCAGTCTATTCTGAAGTCAAGTTAAAAAGTAAGGGTGTCTGTTTCACGTTTGACAAAAAGTGGCTCTCTCTGGAGGGGTAAAGTTGGAGCCTCTGCAGTCCCCCTTGGTTGTAGCAATGTACCCTGTCAGAGCAGTGAGCTTGGCCAGGTGATGGGCAAGAAACCCAGCTGTGTCTCATTTTACAGGTGGCCTGTGGCACAGTGGACTGATAGACAGAAACCTCATCGACTACTTTATCCCCTTCCTGCCCCTGGAGTACAGGCACGTGAAAATGTGTGTGCGGGCAGAAATGAAGGCCCGCGGCTCTGCCACTGATGAAGACGTTGTCACACGAGTGGCAGATGAAATGACATTTTACCCCAAAGAGGAGAAAATCTACTCAGACAAGGGCTGCAAGACTGTACAGGCACGACTAGATTTTCACTGAGCTTCTCTCCAAATGGGATGAGAGGTAACTGGGAGACTCCGCGAGCTTAGGGGCCTTGCCTTTCGGACTTACTTTTGAATACCTCTTCAGGGGTTTGCATATTTGCACCTGTGGACTTTCAAGATCCGGAAGTTTCTAAAGAGTTGATTTTGAAGAGACATTGATCTGCTGAGTACACTTGTCATTTTGCAATATGACAGAAATCCAGCTGTAATTGCAGTTGAAGATGAACTTTTAATATCCCCTCCAAACTTCCTGTTCTAACCTTAACAAATGTGCCTTAGAGGCTGCTGGGAATGAAACCCTAGGGTGGTTTCAACCTCCTGTTATGATGAAAGGGGTTGAAGGACAGCCCTACTGCAGTCTGGGCAGCATTAGGTTTTCAGCTGCTGAAAACATCCTCTAGTTCCTATTCTTTACAGAGATCATTAGCTGACTTGAAATGTTTTCAGTTAGAATTGGCACTACAGCTGCAGACGGTCTTAGACTGGGGAATGTGGGCCTTACCCCGAGTGCTGTGGGGTGAGGGACTCTGTGATGACTCCTGCAAATCAGGACAGGTGTGACCTTTTCGTCCATCTGTTCCTCTAGCTGCTGATACCAGTGGCAGGCGTGACATTTCTTCATCTATTTCTCACTTGGTTTTGATCCTGGTCATCTTTGTAACACATCTACTCCTCAGCTTCAGTCACCACTAGAATTTTCCAACCATACCATTACTAGGGTCAAATCAGAAAACAGACTGTTGGCTTTGAATTTGAGTCCTGAGTTTCCCTAGTGAAATGTTTGTCATGATCTGTATGTGGATCAGTCTGACTTTACTCCATAGAACAATTTGAATTCTCTGGGACATGCTCGTTCTCCAGTGACATGTGACCAGACCAAGCATTTAGCTTCAGCATACAGATTCTACAGTGCCAAAGAGGTAGGTGTATCCGTACATTAGAAATGCCGGAGCTTTCAAGGATGCATTTATTTTTTTACTTCTGAGTCTTACATAATGGAAGTATGGGGCATTGCTGATTTTAAGATACGGGAAGGCTATAATTGTTATTCCTTTCTCAGATACTCTTAAATGGTATGGGTTTTGTTAAATGTGTGGTAATACCACGGTGCTTCACAAAGTTCATGGAAAAATGGAGTGAAACGATAATGGAATTCTCATATATGGAAACTTCTAGATCACATCAGGTTATTGTGAAGTTGTGGCTGGTCCTAGGTGTCTATGGCTGGATGGCTCTGATGGTTGGGAATGGGACTTTGTTCCCAGCCAGCATGAGTTGGTGTTCTGTTATTACAATGTGACTGCAGACTCATTCACAGCCAAGTAGTCTGTGGCAGAATGAAGACTTTTTATAACATGGAAATGCTTTATACGGTATCAAACTTAGTCGTCAAAAATGCCAAGGCGAGACTTAAATCTTTGATTCATATTTTTAGATCAGAGTGAAGTTACATTTCTTTTATAACCTTCCAGGTGTTTGGGCAGGATACAAGGTTTTCTGTTTACAATGATGCAATATACTCAATGTGTTAGCCACCTTTGGACTTTTACCGATTTGTAACTTGAAATGGCCACATGTGACCCTAGCCTAACCATTGCACATCACATAAGATGGAGACGAGCTTGAATTGACCTATTGACTATGAAGTAATAAAGCCTATATTTTATGTGCTCTGTGATTTGCTTCCCTACCCCCCAGTGTGTCTGTTTGATAACACTGTTGAACTTGAATAAAGGCTCTTTAATAGCTCAGGTGTCATTAGGCTAACCACAACCTTAGACACATCAGTTGGTAGTCTTTACATCAGACAGAATCAATATTTACCTTAAAGGAAATAGGAAGTTGAAATGGAATTAAATGATGAATGTTTTCATCAGAAACAGACAGACTTCTAACAAAGATATTCTGCTAAAATTCAGGTTGAAAGGAATTGAGGCACTGGGAAAACATTCTGTTGACATTCTGACACCAAGCAAGGACCCAGCTTAGAACCAGTAACTCCAACTGCTGGGTTTTTCTGCCTGAAATTGGTAAATCATGTAAAATCCTAGTTACATTAATCAGATCTCAGCTGAATCACACTTAACCTGGCATCTATGTTTGTAAATTGATATCAATGACCCTCTTCAGGGGATTGAGGATTAGCTGACTCTCGTAAGTTTTGACCCTTTTTGCCGTCTCTCCAGTTCCCTCATTTCTCAACTGAAGGTGTCACGTTCCATGAGACTTCCTTGGGCTAGTTCCCAGCCCGATACGGTTTCTATACTATGCTGCCACAGATGCAAAAATGGACCTCTCAAAAAATGTCAGGGACCAGGTCTACTGTGTTCCCTAACTAGGAACTCCCAGGTGCCAGGACTCCTCTTCAAATGAAAGGATTAGACCAAGATCAGGCCCGGTGGCCCAATTCAAGCTAACAGACCAGCTTGGTGTCCCAAAAGTTTAAGGCATCAAGAACTTAAAAAACTTGGGGGCCTTAAAGAAGAGCCCCTTATACAAGGTTGAGTAGTTGAGGCAGAGGGGTCCTCTGTTAACCCCAGAGCCCTGCAAGCACTCTTGAGATACTCATATGTCCCATAGGAGCCCTGCCTATGTGGTGCTGCAGGATAATGCAATGGAATGTAAGGTCAGTTTGAACTTTAAGGTCAGCAGTGCAAACCCAGCTCCTCAGAAACCCTAAACAATGTCGCGATAGTTTGGAACCAACTCAACGGCACTTAACATACATGCTGCCTAAAACAAGGTAGTTTTGTCTCTTACAGGAGTCACAAATGGTTAAGTGTTCAACTACTAAAACCCAAACTCACTAATGTCAAGTCAATTCCGATTCATAGCGAAAAGTGGTTCAAACCCACCCAGAGGCACCTCAGAATAAAACCTTGGTGATCCGCTTCCAAAAGGTCTCAGCCAACAAAACACCAGGGAACCACGTTCTACTCTGCATGCACTGTCGCCATGAGTTGGAATTAACTGGATAGCAGTTGATTGGTTTCATCTATGATGTTCAGTCCTGTCTGATATACTAGCTGGGGTTAAGTCTTTAGGCTTGAACTCCATGATCCTTGTAACCCAGGACTCTTAAAACAGTACACCGCACAGCTGAGCAACAGACCAGAGACAGCCTGCTACTTGCATAGGACTCATTCCAGCCTGGGGGCTGCATCTGTTTCAATTCATAGCTCAAGCACAAAAGATTAACAATGGAGGAGTTTATTTTCCCCTTAAAAACATATTCACAAATTACAAAATACAATTTTCTGGTTAAGTGGTAGTTTGTATTTTTAAATAAAAACACTGTTCTCAGCATCCTTAGGAGGGGCAGCTAAGCTTTCTGAGGAAGTTTTGATTCCACATAACAAAAACCAGTGATAAAATATATAGCTAAACCTGCTATACAATTTAGAATCCATTTGAGAGGCAGAAAAATGTGTGGTTCACTCAGTGGGAAATGGAAAAGAGCTTTCCTTTGAAGAGCCTGCATGACTGGCAAATGACAAGCTGAGAAACTTCTTTCAAGGAGACCTGGGTCTGACACAATATGACTAGAATCATCCCCACTGTGCACAGTGTTACAAGTAAAACCCCTGAAAAGGGCATTGAAGGCCTGAGTGGTGACAGGCCTGAGCACCCCTACCCCTACCACCACCACCACCAACATACTGTCCTTTAGTCGAAACACTATGTTGCCCCTTCCAGGGCTGGCTGTAGTCATCCTGTGACAGATTTGGTTGCTGCTCTAGCCTATCCCCAGTAATGCTATCCCACAGAAAAATGTGCCAAGAACTTGTATTGGGCTTTTTTGCAGTAAAGACACATGATGGTATATGTTATGATAGGAATTTAAAAAACACAAAGCTGACAACTTAAGAGTCTGAAAAGTTTCTCATAATGTTAAAAGCCCTTTTAAATAAAGTTACATTTTCAGTAAAACTTCGTCCTTCCTTGAAACAGAAACACTTAAAATTAAAACATGATTTTTAAAAAATCGTTAAGCCTCAGACTGGCTGGGAGCCGGCACCGTCCTTCTCCGAAGGCTCTGGAGGCTGCTCCAAGGTCAGTGGTTATAAGGTTGTGATGGCCTGTAGACTCTGACAAGTGGAAACAGTGCCCAGAAAGTTCCTGTCATGTCAAACAGAAAACAATGCATTTTGCACCTCTTCCAGGGAGAAGTGTGGGGAAGGATGTTGAGTTTTGAGTTCATTCTTTTCCAATGCGATGCAGACCCCTGTGGAATTAGTCATCGTAATAATAATCTAACTTGGTATACACAGTTTTGCAGCCTTTATCTGAGAAAACTCTCTCCTCTTTAGGGAAAAATGTCATCTCCTCAGCCACTCTGGTCACAATGTCCTCATCAATTTCATAACCTCGGGACAGCATTTCCACACGGATGCACATTTTTAGGTGTTTGTATTCCAGGGGGAGGAATGGAACAAAATAATCGATGAGATTTCGGTCAATTAAGCTGCTGTGCCAGAAGCCACCTGGGAAAAAGAAAAAGATGTTTATTCATCTGTTCATCTCTTCCATCTACTCACTGTCACATCCATCCAGTACATCCATACCTACTCAGTGCCAACTAGGTGCCAGACGCTACACTGTGAGGATAATGGAGCTCACTATAAAGCAGGAGTCCTGGTGTGGCGCTGTGAGTTAATGCGCCAGACTGCAAAGCCACTTGAACTGCAAGGTCAGCGGTTCAAGCTCACCACCCGCTCCACGGAAACCCTATACAGGGTCGCTATGAGTCGGGATTGACTAGACAGCACTTAACAATTAAGCACATACAGTTTGTGATAATGTCTATAAAGGGATGGAATGGAACAGAGACCTCTAGCTTACTCTAATTCCAGGAAGGCCTCCCCAGATGTAATATATGCCTGGGGTCAGGGACAAGCACAGAGGCAGGGTGGGAAAAGAACTAGGCTGACCACGTTTCAAAGAAAGTTTCCATGGAAGGACTATCAGTCACTTGTCTTTACTCTAAAACTAACTTGCAACTCTCTCTGGACTTTGAGAACTGGGTGGAAACCAGTCATGGTCCGAGCCTCCAAACTGTGCAAAGCATGTTGAGGAGTAAAACCATGAAAGCAATGCTCTTTTACTACCATAAG